GGGTTTGAAGTGGGGAAGAGTTTTTGGTCATTGTTGACCTAGTGCAGACTCTGAGAGATGCAGATACAAGTAGCCAACTGGTGTTTCCTTTGGGGTATCCCCTCATGATAGCCGTTTTTGATGTTTGACCTCTTTATCAGCATGACCTGAGGGAAGGTGGAAGCAAAGGGGGATGAGGATGAAAGCCAGACGTCATCTTATGCATTGTTTGTTACTGGGTTTGAATAGCTGCCTCCTTACTGGAGATCAGGGCTTGAGGACAGTGGCCAAGCACTTGTTCTCAGGCAGGAAAAAGGCTTCAGGGTGGGTTGAGGATCCAGTAACAAAGAGCAGCACTGGACTTGGGGCACGTCACAGCCCAGTGTGAAATGGGGAAGGGCTCCCTGAGCCGTCCAGAGTACCAGGATCATGTTGATGCTCGTGGCCTGACCATAAAAAGGGAACAAAGTCTTCTTCCCAGGGCTTGTAAGCCTCTGTGAGGTGCCATAAAGACTGCAGGGAGAATCTGTTCTGCTTCCAGTAGCCCAGTCTCCCTAACGTGCTAGCTTGAAACTGTCACCTTCCCTTGTGTAAATGCATGGTAGCTCCCCTCCCACTTATAGAGGCACTTCCTACATCCTAAAAAAGATCACCACCACACTAAAAAAGGAATTAGCACCTTCTGGGTTTGCTCTCGGATGGCAACGCTGCTGGAGTTAGACACGGAGCCATTCTGCACTCACCTCCAGAGTGTGTCCAGCAAGTGTGCATTTAAAGTGGTTTTAATGATGTATGGGTGATGGCAAATTCCTAACAGGAGTGTTATTGTGTATGTGATTTTTAAAAAAGCAACACTAAATAGTCATCTTGGTATCAGAGTTTGATGCCAGGGTCATTTTTTTGTGTAAGATGCTTGATGGAAATCAATGCAAAACCAGAGGTACCTTCCCCGCCGTTGCTGCCACAGCGGCAGCATGGTCTTCTGTCCTCTTGGCAGATGTGAGCCAGTCAAAATGTCTCTTGGACCAGCAGCTGCTGGAGAGACCGGCTGCTAATGGCAGTTCTGGTGTCAGACCCGTGTTGTAATTGTAAAATCTCTGTGTTTGGAAAATCCTGATAAAGTCCTGATAATGGTGTGTTCAGACAACGGTGGAGGCACTTTGTTTATGGTCGGTTCTGCACGGTGCCGATTCTCGGCCATTTGGTGAAACTTGGGAGTGAAGTTCCTGTGGAGCATCTGCTTTTTACATGCTACACTCCAGAGGCCAGATCCTGCTGCAGCTTTGGGGTCAGTCTGAGCCCCCTGCTGCTGGCATTTTTCTTTTTCCCGAGGAAAAAATCCTTCTCATTGTTAACCCGAGGGTGTTTCCTAAGCTTGCTTTGTGAGGGAGGGCTTGCTTCTTGAGCCTGAACATTGTGCGAAGGGCATGCCCTGCTGAGCACATTGATTCGGTGCTTAGCATTTTCTCTTTAATTTCTGCAAAATAGCAGTTCATTCCTAGGAAGGATGGCTGTGGACCTCTGTACAGATACTTTGGGGTTTTTTAAGGCATGAGTATATATATGCGCATCTCAAAAAGCTGGGCTATTTCATCTCTGTGCCCAAGTTTCATTTGATGAATAACAGGTTCTCTATTAGCCAGAAATAACTCGATTTTGTTGTCCGTGTATCTGGTCTGAGATGACGCTAATAAGACTAAATGAGGAGCGTTACTGAACGAAATTCAATATGTAAAATTAGTGGGCTGATGTCCCAGGCAGTGGCAATGACTACGGGGAGGAGAGCAGTGGATCTGGAAGGGTAGGCGATGCCGAGGGCAGACTGCATGTTACAGCCAGCTAAACCGCAGCTCCTGGGTCCTTAGTAAAGTGGGAGCGAGAGGGTAAAAAAACCCCAAAACCAAAAAACCACAACGGGGGGAGGGGAGGGGGGAGGATGGGAGCGGTGGGAAAGCAGGGCATCCTGATTTGCACGAAAATGCAACTCTCATTTGCAACTGGAAGGAGGCTGCAGGGCAGCGGCTGGGGGCGGCAGCCGGCGGGGCGCGGGGGCTGCCTGCCCGCCGCCGCCCCCCCCGCCCGGCGGCGGGCACCGGGGAGGTGCAAAGGGCGGGGAGGGAAGGTGCCGGCATCTCCCTCTGCTCCGCCGGCAGAGCCGGCTGGCGCGACGGGACGGAGAGAAGTCACCTGCCAGCTCGGACCTTACGGAGCAGCCAAGCTTGGGGGGCGGAGGAGAGGATGGGAGGAACGACTGAGTAAACGCACGGGTAGCGAGGACGCCCGATTTTTGCTCCTGTGCGAACGAGAATAGCAATTAACTTTTTTTTTTTTCCCTCTTCCTCCTCCTGTTTCGCATGTTGAAACTGGCTGTTTTCAGCCCACAAGGTCACAAGTAAGGAGGATAAATTCAGGCTAAAGAATTGTAAATGGTTTCATGCGTCAGGAAGATCTAGACAGATTTAAAGTTTTGATTTCAGGAAAGAAAGGCGGAGGGGGAAAGCCGGGAGAAGAGAAGTCTGGGGAGCAGAGTTTGAACAGGCTCAGTCTGGAAAACCGTCGCCTTTCTGCAGCTCCTGGGATTTCTGAGATTTAAACTCCAGGATCGCAATTCAACACCTTGAACATGGTGGTTTTCATCAACACAAAGCTTAAATCTCTCATGAAATTTTTCAAGAGAAAGAGTAAGTAGTTGTGCGTGCTCGCTGCCTGTTCGGGAGGCAGCCGAGTCCTGCAGGAAAGTGCAGTTCCCTTTGGCTTTGCTCCTGCTTTCCTGAAGCCTCTTTTTAAGATTTATCTCACTTTTCATGGAGTATTCTGTAATGTGCGGAGGCAGCCTTATGAGGTCCCTTAGGACCTCTGCTTTGGGATACTGTTGCTTTTGAAGTCCTTTGTTTTGGCGGTTTTGAAGGAGCCAAACTTTTGGGTGTGAAAGGAGCAGGTCGGTGACAAGTCGTGCACAGGTGTCACCTGCAGTCGTGCACAGGTGCCCTGCTGTGTGCTGGGGCGTCCTTCCAGCTTCTCTCAGGAACCTGTCTCTGCCTGTGCGGCTGCTGAGCCCGTGTGGTGCTATGGGCTTGTATCTGTGAGGTATCTACATAAAGCGTGTCATAATGAGCCAAGTTTTGTCTTTTAAAGATGCTCTAGTTCCAGGACAGCTTTTAAAATCGCAATTCTTCGTTTAATTCATGAAGACAGACGAATAGCGCTAGGGAGAGTAGTTGGCAAATGTGCGCAGCCCTTCTGTCGACTAGTTTTGATGACCATTGCTCTGATGAGCAGTAAACGTTAATTTTGGTATGGTGGGACTGCAGTCAGACAGCGGGCTTGGCAGCTGGTGTTTCCCTCTTCCTCTTCCTCCCCCAGCCTTGCTCCCCTGCTCTGCCAGGGGATGGCGAGGGCGGCTTTCCGAGCACGCCGTTGACTATACCTATCATTTTTTCTGTAATACCGGGATGATTGATGCTGTAACCAGGTAGGTGGTGACTTGTCAGTTTGTTGTGATTTAGGTTTGACCTCTAGTTAGCAAGGACGGGAAAAGCAGGCACAGACTGAACATGTATCTGTCTTGTTGCAGCCAATATGTCTGTGAGAGGGGGGGATGCAGGACCAAGCCACCACAGACATGAAGAGACCAATCAAAAGTCTTGAAAAACCTTTTTCGAGGTCTGATACTAATCTAAAAAAAGTGAGGAAAGGCAGTTAAGAACCTCCCCTCCCACCCCAAGTCCTTTTAGGACAAAACAGGTGTTGAGCATTAGGCTGTGGATAGGTTTTCAAGCTAAAGGCATAGCTTATTTTCTTTAACGAGTACTGATTATTTCCATCTGAAATGATCCTGGCAGACGTGCAGTGGTGTTAGGGAAGGACTCATTCTTCAGATGGCAGGAGGCTGTTGCCTTCGTTTTGCTTCACAGTTTACACACCTCCTCTGCTACCACAGAGGCATCAGCCAAACTTCAGACAAAGTGATGCTACAAGGCAGCGCAGCAGCGAGCAGTGCCCAGGCAGCAGGGAAAGCAAAGGGAAGGTGCGGAGCTGGCAGCGGGGCCAGCATGGCAGGTGCTTGGGAGGCAGCACAGCTGTAGTGGCTTTTTCTGCCTTGGGGAGCTAAAAGCAAGGATGTGCGGCACGCTGGCTGAAGACCAAAGGGTGCCTGAGGGATCATAAAGTATGAGCCCCAACTGCCCTTTTTCTGTTTAGAGGGTGGAGGGATAAGGCCATTCAACTGTAGAAGTTTTTGTTGATGATAAGCCTCAAACAAAAGGTAGTGGCTGTCTCTCGGGAAGCATAAATGATAAACAAATCTTAGCAATATGTGCTTTGGCTGATTCATTACTTGACTGTCTATAGGGAACTTTGAACTTGAGCAAGGTCTGTATTTTATTTTCACGTGTGTATTGGCTGAGAAGAGGTGGCCAGAACAAGCCCTCTTCAGTGCTGTTGTGCCCTGAGCAGTATTTGCCCAGGGAGTTGCTGTTGTCCAAATCTGCTTTCTGCTGACGGCAATGGAAAGTAGCTAATTTGTTGGCTTCACTGGAATCTTTGTTCCTGGTTTGAGCGAGCGTGAGGTCAGAGAAGGTTATTTCCCGATACAAATGAACCTGTCGTAATCTCTCATGGCGACTGTCATATTCCCAGGGTCACCTTTGAGCAAGAGGAAGCTATCCTGCAATGCACAGCGCCTGGTGGGATCGGGGGACAGGGAAACTGATCTCGTTTGTGAAGACTGGGAGCTAGAGATGGGGAAAAACAGAGTTGCAAGTTCAGAGTAAATAGGACAGCAAGTATAAACATGGGAAGGGGGAAAGGTGTTTCCTACATAACATAAATTTAGAGTAGAAATGAGAGGAAGGTTTTTAACTGTCATGGAAGTGAGGTTCTAAGAGAGCGTTTTGATGGGACTACAGTGGCAAACAATCTTTTTTGTTTTAAGATGATGCGCAACAAACTTATGTGTGGGGTTTCACGATATAGCTATGTACAACAGCATTTAACTTTCTTATTATTGTCTCTCTCTGCAGCGGTTTCCAACCTAGATGAAGAGAGTAGATGGACTGTGCACTACACCGCTCCGTGGCACCAGCAGGAAAATGTCTTCCTGCCCTCCTCAAGACCACCTTGTGTGGAGGACCTGCACCGACAAGCCAAGCTGAACCTCAAGTCAGTACTGAGAGGTAAGATGCTGCTGCCGGCACAGATGTGTCCTAAAGGGGCGGTAGTTTTTTGCCACAGACTTTGCAAACTTAACCAAATTGCAGGCTTCGGAAGAAACTTACTTATTTTTCTGCCTGCAGCACATCAGGAACGTTAGTGGGATTTACCCACTCAAATCTAGGGACAGGGCAAAAATGCTTTTGCTATCAAGGGACAAGGAAACGTGTAACCTGGCAGAGCTCTCCAGAATGGAAAAGGGGACAACCTTGTGTGTTTTGGCCATTTCCATTCAGTTTTTGGAGTGTTTCCAAAATGGTACCTTCAATTTCAGTAAGTCCTGAGTTACTCCATTTATACTTCAGTGTAAGAACCACATCAGAGGTGTTTCATTTGATGATTTCTTTTGTTCTTGTACAGTGTCATTTCCAGGGATGAGGCTACTTGTGAGAAGTCAGAAAAGGTGCTGAGGGAAGAGAAGGGAAATGGGGAACAGGGCACTCACAAGGACTCCTTCAGTAGTGAAAGTGCTTTCTTGCAGAAGGGTGCAGCATATTTTTAAGGACCAATTTTTACCCTTGGTACCTTCTTCGGGGGTGTACCTGTACAGTCTGGCACAGAAGGTGTTGTGTTGTGTTAGTGCAGCCATGAGGCCAGAGGCAGGCAGCTAGCGGGGAGGACTGCAGAACATCTGTCCCTGGGCCAGAAGTAAAGTTTAAAATTACAGCTTAATGTCTGTGTTCTGGAAATGGTTAACCTAGATTTTTTCTTTACATTGGCTACTTAACAAAGGGGGTTACCCTGCAAAGAGCCAACTCATTTCAAGTCCCTTTTTGTTTCAGCAGGAACTGCAGGTACTTGATACCTTGCAAGTTAACCTGATTTAAAAGAACATTGTAATTTTTTGTTTGTTTAACATGACATTTCTGCTTTTTAGAAGTGCAGAAAACTTCATTTTGTATGTCTGAATAGAGAAGTGTTTGGCTGCCCTATTTTATTTCTCTTGCCGTTTCTCCAGTTAATTGATTTTCACCATCTCTTACTAGGTGCCTTTTGTTATCATTTAATAGGGGAGTCTTGACAGCCAGTGTTATTAGCTCATGCCTGGCTCAGCAGATAGTGTGTGTGTGTCCTCTATACTTATTACTGGATTAATACGTTTGTACAGCCCTTTAGCCTTGAAATGTTTACTGTTCCCTTGCAGGCACACTTACCAGTTCTTCACAAAAGAAAAATATTTGCCTGCTTTAGATTAAAAAGAATACTGCTTGTGGCTAGCTTTTTGTAAACTTTTAACTACTCATTCTTCTATTTTTCTCTTCTCTGTTTGGGACTATTATCAAAGAAAACTGCACAGGCTAAAAAACTGCTGTCATTTTCTTGTGTTTTATCAGAAATTTATCTACTGCAGTTTCCTCTTCTATTTTGATAAATGTATATCTAACATATTTGTGTGAAACTAAGTAATATATGCTGCTTCCCTAGCTTACATATCTGAAGTTATTTTAGTCTGCTGGGATTTTTCTCTAGAGCTGCTACTCTTTATAAAACAAAAGCTATTCAGTCCTACTGCAACTTACCAGTTAGCCATTTGTGTTAAATAAACTGGCTTGTGCCGATGATGTAGGGCTCCTTGGCAATGAAGTGAATTTCAGTTTCATGCTTTCAGGGCAGTAAGTGAGAGAAGAAACTGTGATGCCTTCACCAGACCTCAAGTTGCTGACATAGTCAACAAAACTCTGCTATTTATTTATTTTACCTCCAGCTCCTTCCCTGGGCCATATTTATTCCCTAAGAGCAGTTTTAAAATAACTCTTTGCTGTGGCCTGTAGCTGTCCTGAGTAGCTACAGCATGAATTTAACACCATTTTCAGCAATTTCATTCTTGCTGGTCGGGGTTCTGAGTAGTAAGAGAGGTACCGAGTAAAGTTTTATCAGTTTTACTCTGCTGCTGCTTCAACCAGCACTGTGAAATTAGGAAGATGCCGGTGCTTCTGATCACATTTGGAAGATTGGGTTAAACGTTCTGTAGCCAGAGCTGAGTTTCATTCCGTGTGAAAGGGCTGTTGAAATTGTGACGTAATTGTGACAACTGCTGAACTGCTTTTCCACCTGCTGCTTTAGAAAAGACGGAGTTTTCTAAAGCTTTTTAATGGGTAGGAAGTAAATTCAATGCTGTGTGATTATAGGATAGAAGACCTTGGAGAAAAGTAGTCTCATGAGAAGAAGCACTGTTAGGCTATCATGGGAACTTTAATTCTGCTTTTCTTGGCCTCATGATGAAGCTTGCATTTTGACGTCTTTTTGGTGTTTCAAATTCAGGGGTTGGGGTGAAGCATGGGGCAGTAGAACAGCTGTATGTGACCCGACGTGCTGCATGGGTGGTGGGGAATGAACAACGTTGGATGACAAGGTGTGCCGTACTCTGTGCAGGAAACAGTGGGATGAATCCCCCATTCTCCAGAAAGCATTTGCACAAACTGGAAAGGAGTAGAACAAAAGCAAAAATAATTTTTTCGTTGTTGGAAGTTGGAGATGAAGTAGTGGACATGCATGGCAGTGGAGAAATACTTAGGTTTGGTAATAGGGGAAACTTCCTCACAGTAAAGATACTGAAGTGCTAAAATAAATTTTTGGGGCCATGAAATCATTGGAGGTTTTTAAGAACAGGTGAGAGAAACACTACTCAGAAATCGTTCGTGCATATTTAATCCTACCTGCAGAGAAGGTTGGGAAGGAAGAGATAATCTCTGGTGGTCCCCTCGAACCTGGTGATGTGGTCCTGAGGGCTAGTAGCTCTAGTAGCTATAGTTCAGACCATTGAAACATGTTTGACAGTTTTCCAGTTCTGTTCTTGTTTGGATTATGAGACCTGACATTGCTGGTACATAGCAATTTGATTGCAGACTATTAATTTGTTACTGCATTCATTGCTCCCCCAGTGAATGGAAAATTAAGTGTAAAACTTAGGTAACAAATAGTAATTCACATGCAGAGCACAACAGTCATTTAAATGACCTGTAAAGATACTGAATGTATAAAATCTTTCAAAATGATTCAAGCAAGGTATTCCTTTCTGTCAAGGTGTTTTCACCCATCTAATACTAACCAGATGAAATCCTGGCTAGCTTTTAAGACAATGCAAGGTCAAACCTATTTATTCTGGTACAATTTTAACAGCAGATTTTTGACAGCATAGGTCTAGATTAAAAAAAAATCTAGTGGAATAGATAAGAAGCTGTCTGTTGTCTAGAATAAACGTTTAAGCACCACTTAAGGACCAGAAAAGCTATTTTCACTGCTTATTCTTAAACTGGCTTAAGAACAGAAGTTGGGAGTAGCGATATTAAAATGTATGATATCTAACCTGTCTTGAAAAATCAAGTATTCTGCTTGGTGATCTCTGCACGCTCTGCATACCTTTACAGGAAGCAGTGTTGTGTTTGGAGGAGGAAGAGATTTTTTTAATTTATTTTTTGTGCAGTTTATTATTTTACTTCATATATTATATATTGAAATGTCCTCTGCTTATTACACTGGGGAAGTGGATGCAGCATATGGTAGTAGATGTTGCATGGGGAGATTTTTTAGATTTTTCGTACCTATAAGCTGGCCTTTTACTCTTTTGAAATCAGGGGGAAATATTGTGCTTTTCCTTTATGAAGCTACTTTCAAGTATACATGGTGAGATCTTGCATTCAAATTTGTTCATAACTGAGGTAAAGCTATGTATCCTCCTTTAGGCACACAAGTGCTCAGGTGCCACCTGAAGTTTTAAAAAGCAGTATTGTCCAGTAATTTGAATTAGAAAATGAAGCACCTGGAAGCTGGAAAGTTTGTGGTGCACGGTATATCTGTTCTTGAGAACTGAAGTGGCTTTATGTAACTTATATTAAAATTTAAAGTTGTCACTGACTAAAATCAGTGGCTTGATATGTTTAACCCAGGCTGCGTTACTACATTTTAAATGAAAGCTCTCAGTGGCTTAATCTGATGGCTAAAGCAGAAAAGCAAATTCAGCTGCACTTCACAGCCACCGTACCATTGTAATGTGATTTAAATGTTTAGAAAATGATGCAGTCGTGGTGATAGTGTTTTTTTTAATGTTTTGTTTGCATTGGATAAAACAGGATCTCCTTTTCTTTGGGGAAGGAGCCAGGACCTTGGAGTGCCTGGTGGAGCAGATGGGGCGACATGTGCCATCCAAGGTGCCTGTTTCCTTACCCGCAGGGCCAAACTGCTCTAACTGGCCTTTCCTGAGAGCCTATCTTAAGTGGCCTCTTCGTCGTGTTTTCACAGTCACCTTATGGAAGGTGTTTCCCAGCATACAGACGTTCAGATAGAAACAAATCAATATTGACCCTTGAGGAGTCTTGTGTGACTCTGTGCTCCATGTCACTGTTTCCTCCTAGGGAGTCGTGAAAATAGGAGATGAAGATGACAGATGAGAAGGAAGAGCTGAGGCTCTGCATGGGGTCAGGATCCTCAGATCGATCCTCTCCCCTTGCACCGTGTGCTCTGCTTCAAGGCTGAAGGGCTGCTTGACTTACTATTCAGTCTCATGTTGCCAGTATCTACTGAGTGGCTGGACCAGCTCTGAGAGTCTGGTCTGGACAGTAGCAGAGCTATGAATTTAATGTTGTTCAGAGTGGCATTGGTTCATTTAAGGCAGACCGTTATCTGTGCTAAAGGGGCAGTGCCACATACTGCAGTATTTCCTACAGCTTTTTTGGTCCGTGAGGCCAAGAGGTTGAGTGGGTGTTCAACCGGCATCAAGAGGGTAGCACCATAAAAGAGCCCTCATCCCTGACACCGTGCGTTGACAGGTCTGGCTTGTTGCTCTGCAGCATGGTCATGTTTCAAGGACCATAGTCTGAAGAAGTCCATAAAGTACAGTGGTCTTCAGCTGGAAGCACATATACAGTAGCAGTAGTATATAGCAATGACGCAAATATTTGGTAAGAAAACTAAACTGAGGCTAATCCTCATTTTGCTAACTGTACTATAAAATGACAAGCAGTAA